ACACAATCAGATAGTTATCGATATCCAATCAACGTGATTTTTTATAAGCACATAGTGCTCGACGAGTTCTACACATTGAATGGTTCCGATTAGAAAAACGGGACCCGTGTTGGGCCCTCACGAGCCAAACAACACCATCCAATCAAAGCCCGAGAAGGAGACAATATTTTCTCATCTACTCACTCGACAGACTCCACTGCCAATCCGTACGACCTCCTACCCTATCTCCTCCTATACACTTATTTATACAATTTTTTAATACACATTTTTTTTTATAAAAAGTCAAAAAGTTAACCCAAACATTCATATTTTTTCCCTCAACTTTTTAGTCTAAAAAGATAAAAAAAAAATACATTTATTTAGGACAGCCAAAGGGCATAGAAAAATAGCACCAAATTTAGAGCAAACTCCAACACTTTTGGCAAAGTTATTTGTTAGCTCACTACAACATAAAACAAAAATGCTTTAGACCATTAATTAGTGGTAACATTAATGATGTGGCAGTGAGTCTCACCGATGACCACAATGTTGTTGTGCCTTGTTTTTTATTTTATTTTTATTTTTTAAGTGTTTGCCAACTCATTAGTGATGCTTTAGAGCACCACTTTTAATGGTATGTAGCATTGCTGTAAAAAAAAGTTAAATTTTAACTGTATCATCTTTAATGGACTTGCAAAGCAAACTCCAACACGTTCGGCTAAGTTATTTTTTAGCTCACTACATTATAAAAAAAAGTTAGATTTGAACTGTATCATTCTAACGATGAATTGTCATATTTTTGACACAACTAAATTTTACGTTACTATTTTTCAATTAATTTCTACATCATTGATTTGAATAACTATCATATTTTTGATTTCTTATTTTTTTGAAGATGGTTAAATTGTAATTATTGGAGTAAATTAACTTTTGCAATTACAATATTTTATTATTTTTGTAATTTTTGTAATTTTGCAAGTTTTGATTTATGATAGGGAACTCTAGTATTAAAAAAAAATACTCAAATTATTAAGGTAAAAAATATGACCGACAAAAAATGATCTTTCTTTTAGATTTTTTGGAAATAGATTTGGCTCACATTGGAGTGACGTTTTGTAAGGTCAAGTCATATTTTGACTAGCTTTTGGCCGAATTTTTAGGAATAACAACAGAACAAGTTAAAATATTTACAAATTCATAAAGTTTAAAGTTTAAAATTTAAAATTTTAATTATTAATATTTATAAGGTTTGCTATCAATGTGTATTTTTCTTACTCTAAATTTACATTGAATTGTAATTTTTCTTTTTTCTTTTTTTCTTTTTAGGATGAATGTACAGGCTTTGTTCGGTGTTACTTCTAAATTATTTTATTTAGCATATTACTTTAAAAAATTAATTAATTAATTAATTAATTATAATATATTATATTATAGATAATAATTTATAATTAATGAGAATTAAAAGATATAATTTATAAACAAATAAGTCAAAATGAATATTAAATATAATATTTTAATCTTATTAAGTTAAAATAAATAAATTATATATATATATATTGAATTAAAAAAAAACACTGCAAGACTGGAAGCAAAACTTATCCCTACCCTACTACTTTATTGGGGCAGGGAAAATATGGAAGGGGGGGAGGCCTGGGAAAATTGCATCACTATTTGGAGTTGCTAAGGGGTGAGGAATTTTCATATGATATAGTTAGATATATATATACTACGAAACTAATTGTCGTCAAGGTGGTTTGCCCGAGAGGTTAAGGGGGAAGACTTAAGATCTTCTGCACATAAGTGCGCGTGGGTTCGAACCCCACAGCCACCATTGTTATTTTCTTTTAATTTGTTTTCTCCAAAGCCTTGCTTAACAATTACCTCTTTTATTAATAAATCACTAATTTAATTAATAATTTTGCTTGAGTAGTTTGAAATTTTATTTTTCTATTAATTTTGTTAAATAAAAATTGTGACAAAGAGGTATTTGTAATTTTTAAAACTATAACGAGCAATTCATATTTTAAGTAAATTGTAATGGGTGTATTTATAATTTACTCCAATTAATATAAAATTATATTATATGTAAAACACATGATATACTTGTTGAATTTTTAAGACAATCTATCTATCTCTATACTATATATATAAACCAAATATAGTTGTTATGTTAAAAGTTTTCATTCCTAAATTCTCATAATTTTGAGAAAAAAAAAAAAAATTACATGGCTCCTCCCTTCATCTCCATTCTCAATTTTTAGGTCTTCTCATTCCCTTTCCCTACGCACGGGTTACCGCTAGTATATATAAACCAAATGTAGTTGTTATGTTAAAAGTTTTCAAAGTTTTCATTCATAAATTCTCATAATTTTGAGAGAAAAAAAAAATTACATAGCTCCTCCCTTCATCTCCCTTCTCAATTTTTAGGTCTTCTCATTCCCTTTCCCTATATAACATAAAAAATAAAAAATAAAAATTCATCCATATTCATCACCCACCGTTCACTCAACAAACCCATAAATATCACATATCAGATCTCTCACTCTATCACGTTATTCAAAAAAAAAAAAAAAAAAAAAAAAAAAAAAAAAAAAAAAAAAAAAAAAAAAAAACCTCACAACTCTCACAACTCTCACTCCCAATAAATTTATATATATATATATAAATGTTCAACACCTATCACGTTATTAAATAAATAAATAAACCAACAATTTCCACAGCTCTCATTCCCACATTCCAGTCATGCATATCCATCACTACAATTCACTCAATCATACATATGTCTATTCCTAATTTCCTATAATTTTTAAAATTTTAAAAGATTATGTGACATTTTCTTTTGTTCACATTCCAACCCAGTCCCTTCATCATTTCATGTATTTTTAATTTATTTTTTTTTTAAATATTTTTTTTCATGTTTATCTAATTTTTATCTTTAGATTTGAATTTGATTCTTCTATTCTTTGTTTTATTTAATACTTGATTTTTTTCAGTATATTTATCTAATTTCTATCTTTAGATTTGAACTGAATTTGTTATCTTAATATTATATTTATCTTCATAATTAAATATTGATTCCGTATAAAGAAAATTCAGTCCTAACAAAACGGAACTATGTCTACTTCACTACCTAAAATTTAGGCCTAACTATCTCATATTTTCTTCCTTTACATCGTACTTCTTTTTAGTTTCAAATTTTGCAACTTCCGTTTATGCATAATCTCTCTGCATCTCTGCATTTTCAATCACATACTTTCTTATTCTCTTTTATCACATCAATCACTATCCTGTTATCTTTTTATGAGTCTTTCCCATTTTTTTTTTTTAATATTTTTAATTTAACCCTTACTCTTCCCTTTGTCTATGTTTACAAGTTCAGTCAATGCTCTTTTTTCTTTTTCAAGATTTTTACGCTAATTGTATTTTTCTATAAATTGTGGTAGAGGTATTCTTGTTCTTCTTTTTTCTTTTCTTTCTTTCAAGATTGTTATGCTAATTGTTTTTTTTAAGGAATATGATATTTCATTGACAACATTAAAGAGCAAAGCACTTTTTAATCATGAAAACACATTCAGTGTGACCGGCATTCAAAAACTAATGTCATATTATGCTTGTACAATGTGGTTATCCTAAATAGTAATAGGGAAGATGTTATATTCATATTCTCGATGAGCAACACCAACGTGACATGATTTGACTATCAAGGATGCAGACCGGTGAAGGTTGCCACGACTGGTGCTATGATTCGATTGTTGCTTTTGTTAGCAGATTGGTCTATTGGTGGACTACTGCTCGATCGAGTCACTGCGTGTGCTTTACTGTCGTCGACATGGTCATACGACAATTGTTTCTTTTAACTCAGCAACCACTCTGTTCAGCTATGTTATCTCCGTATCTTTCGACACAATGACGCTGTCAAAACCAATAAACAGATTTGCAGCTTGTGCACCGAGCATGCGTTCCATTGATGCGACTCTCACTTCTAGCTCACGTACACATTCGGACTTCATTCGAGATTGGGTCTCCAACTCTGTAATTTTGTGCAGAGCCTTTGTTAGTTCAGGTCAAGAAGTTCGGGGAAGAGATTCAACTACCTTCTCCGACAACCAACATGTTGGGAACATGCTTTATCATTTCTTGCAGTAATTCGGTGCGGGATCTCTTAGTGTCGATAGGTGGTTCAATGTCAACGTGGCCACCGTTTAGGGATTCTGGTTTCCAACAATCAAAACTTGGCTCCGCAACATCCGCATCACGCTCACCGTTGCCTTCCCATCCCACATGGATTCTGGCTCAACCTCCAACGTATCCCCCACATTTTGTTCTCACTACAAAAAATTAACTTTTTGCGACGGCAAAATGCCGTCGCAAATACTCAAAATGCCGTCTCAAAAAGTTTTTTGCGACGGCAAATGATTTTTAGCGACGGCAAGTGGGGGGTCGCAACAAAAAAGGTCGCAAAAAGGTTTTAGCGGCGGCATGTTACCGTCGCTTTTTTTTGCGACGACAAAGTTGCCTTTTTGCGACGGCATTTTTCCGTCGCCATTAATATGAAAAAAATCTGAAATTTTTTAAGACGACACTATTTTGCCGTCGCTAAAGGTGTTATTTGCGACGGCAAAAATTGTCGTTGCCAAAGAATTTTTATTGCAACAAGATAATGCCGTCGCTAAAAAAATATTTGAAACAGCACGATGCGCCGTCGCTAAAAGATTATTTGCGACGGCAAAGAGTACCGTCGCAAAAAACTTGTCTCAACTCTACCAACATTTGCGACGGCAATGTGGTGCCGTCTCAAAAAAAAAAAAAAAAACTACAATGAAATTATTAAAAATATAAAAATTACCTGTATTAAATAAAAAATAATTGAAAAAGAAACCAATAATTACACAATAATATAAAAATTCCAGTATAAAAATAACAATTCATTCATAATACAAATATTCTTGCATTCATTCATTACAACACATTAACAAAATTATTGCACTACATAATATTGCATAATACATACACAATGTTTAAATACATAATGTTGTTCACAATTCAAAATAACGTAAATAAAAAACAAAAATTTCCCTCATGATTCTAGGAATGGAACCACCAACTCCATTTGCGCTACTAGTAAATCCAGGGCTACCAACAACACTCATTCCACCTCTATTTGTCACCCCTGAATGACCATGTGAGCTTCCATGGGATATCTGCAATACAAAACAATACACAATTGGATAGAGATCAAGAAAGAAATTAATTTAGCAAACATAGTGAAACACCAGTGAATGAAAAATACCAACTAATAAATATATGCAAAACTAACACATATACCTGAGAAAGAGCAACAGGGAGATTGTTTGATGCAAAACGTCCACTAGAAAGGCTTCCAGTAGGCTGTTGAACCCCACTAGAAGGAACATTATTTATTGTAGAGTTTCTAGATGCAAGTGTGCCAAGCATGTTGGGAACATTAAAGCTCCCATGAAGGTTATGTAGCCCTTGAATAGTTCCTGTAAAAGGAAATTTCTATATTATATAAAATCTGATGGAAAATATAGAGCAATACTTGGCAAAATCAACTCACCTGTGTGATGAAAAACAGGGGAGGCTGCACCAGATTGAGCAGAAAAAGATGTAGCGAAAGAACGCCCAGTACTGTCTAGAAGATTTAAAGCTGATCCGTTCAGAGATGACTGCAGATAAGTTTGATAAATTTTACAAGCACCAGGGATATGCATGTGACCATATAAATCATGCCACTCGTGGTCCAAGTTTAGATATAACAGTAAGCATTCACAAAACCCAGAACCAAGACCAAACAATTGGCATACAAAAAATGCAAGACTCAAGTGAGACAAATAAAGGATGCATGTAGAACTAAACATAACTAAAGGGAATTGAGTGAATGCCCAAATTATCAGTCCAGAACAATTTATCTCCAAATTTTTGTGGTCCTCTTTATAAATAGATTTGTATCTTGATAGCCAAAAAACAAAAGAATAAAATAAAGAAGATGGTCTTCCAATCACCCTCCATAAATAGTTTAACTATACATGCTAGAGATTGCTCCATACAACATAGCAAGAAACCATATAAAAAGTGGATATGTTTTAAGCCCTGCCTTTCTGCATTTCTTGTTGGATAAGAAACTGATGTATTACAAGGCCAAGTCCTGTAACTTTCACATTAAACTGAAAAGGATGGATGAGTTGAAAACAAGAAAATGCCATATATTCATTCAAAAAAAAGAACCTAAAGATCCAACAACTATATTGGCTAACAGCCTCAACATCATTTTATGTATAAAGAGGTTATGTAAAGGCGGACTATACATTAAGTAACCCTGACATTGCAGAAATGTCAAAAGGTCATGCAGTAAAGTTTTCATTGCCGAACAGTAGCTTTTCCTTGTCTTCAGATTGGATTGACAAAAATATTCTGATATTTGAAGCTTCTCTGTGTGCGTAATTAACCTATAATCTGAAAAGAACAACATGATTGGAGCATACAGTCAAAAATATAATTACAGCTGCTACCGTATTCATGCACAAGTGCACACACACAAACAACAATAGTCATCAGGTACTGGAAGAAGAAACCAAATTCCACAAACAAAATATCCCAACCATGTGTACTCAATAGTTTTGCAATTCATATACAATATCCCAACCATGTGAACTCAATAGTTTTGCAATTCATAACTAGCATAAAACCTAAAACCATAACCCACCCACGACCACTAAATAATACTGCAATGTGTAACTATGTTACTTAGATATAAGATCAATACTGTAAGCACCTATAATCTCTAAAATTATGATGCTAGGATAGGATGTAAGATCAATCCTTTCATGTTTTCGTATTAATTTTCAAGTTTAAAAACATGGCATCCAACAGTCGAGTCAACCAGAATTAAACCGTATGTCATAATTATGTCATAAATATATTTAAAATCATATTTAAATAAAAAATAAAGAAGAAACATTTATTTAAACTACTTTTACATTTTAGGATACACATATTCAATGATACACGGACACGGATACAAGACACGACACGGACACGGACACGGGAAAACGTAAATTTTCAAAAAATAGGGGACACGACACGCTGGGGACACATTCAATATATATAATTTTATTTATTTATTATATGTAAAATTAAAAAATATAAATATTATTTATTTATTTTAATATCAAATATTATTCACAAATTAAAATTTTCTTATAAATAAAAATAATTTATTTAAACAAATAATAATATCTAAAAAATAGAAAAAAGGAAAAGAAAAAAAAGTTGTTTGTTCAAATATATATCTAAGTATATAAATGTGGTCCTTGTGTACTCCCATTCAAAATCAGCATATGTTTATTAGAGCATATAACAAGAATCAGATTGAGCAAAATCAGTCAAGGAGGTTTCAGCACTGAACTAAACATTAAATTGCATACAAATTACAAACACAAAGAAATAAATAATGGAGAAACAAAATGGCATATTTCTATTACTTACGAATGGCTAGCAATTGAACTAACATCACCAGATTACGCACACTTCTAACATAACATAGATAATGAGGCAAATTTCCTATAGATCAGCTCCTCGTTCAAGCCAACACTTTTACTATATTTCTATAATTCTAGTACAATCTGACCGTAGTAATAAGATCATACCTACACCACGTCCTTCTCGGATTTCCATAGTCATAGATCTTGAAACAACATCTCTTGATGCAAGATCCTTGGCAGTAGGGGCATACCGTTCCATAAATCACTCACCTTCACTGTTCCTCAGAATACCACCTTCACCGCGAGATCCTACAAGTGGCAGAAAGAAATCAGGAACCATCTATAGACAAAAAATCATTGTATGAGACTGAAGAAGTGTATTGAATTTTTTTTTCTTTTCTTCTCGCAAGTATTGCAATTCAACGGGGCATATTAATTTTTGGCGACTAAAAAAAATTTAGTCGCTAAAAATCTCACAATTGGTGACTAAAAAAAATTTAGTCGTTAAATTTGCCACAATTGGCGTCTAAAAAATTATTTTAGTCGCTGTATAGATAGTTTTGGCAACCAAAATAATTTAGTCGTTGAAATAAAAATGAAAATTTATTTTTTATATTTTGGCGACCAAAATTTTGGTCGGCAAAAATGTAATTTCAACGACTAAAAAATATTCTAGTCGCTATATAGATACTTTTGGCAACTAAAATAATTTAGTCACTGAAAGAAAAATAAAAATTTACTTTTTATTTTTGGCGACCAAAATTTTGGTCGGCAAAAATTTAATTTCAACGACTAAAAAATATTTTGGTCGCTGTATATATAGTTTTGGCAACTAAACTAATTTAGTCGCTGAAAGAAAAATAAAAATTTACTTTTTATCTTTGGCGATCAAAATTTTGGTGGGCAAAAATTTAATTTCAACGACTAAAAAATATTTTGGTCGCTGTATATATAGTGTTGGCAACAAAACTAATTTAGTCGCTGAAATTAAATTTTTGCCGACCAAAATTTTGGTCACCAAAGATAAAAAGTAAAATTTTAAAATAATTTAGTCGCTCAATGAAAAATAAAAATTTACTTTTTATCTTTGCTGACCAAAATTTTGGTCGGCAAAAATGTAATTTCAGCGACTAAAAAATATTTTAGTCGCTGTATAGATACTTTTGGCAACTAAAATAATTTAGTCGCTGAATGAAAAACAAAAATTTACTTTTTATCTTTGGCGACCAAAATTTTGGTCGGCAAAAATTTAATTTCAGCGACTAAAAAATATTTTGGTCGCTGTATATATAAGTTTGGCAACTAAAATAATTTAGTTGCTCAATGAAAAATCAAAATTCACTTTTTATCTTTGGCGACCAAACTTTTGGTCGACAAAAATTTAATTTCAGCGACTAAAAAATATTTTTGTCGCTGTATAGATAGTTTTGGCAACTTAAATAATTTAGTTGATGAATGAAAAGTAAAAATTTATTTTTTATCTTTGGCGACCAAAATTTTGGTCGGCAAAAACTTAATTTCAGCGATTAAAAAATATGTTAGTCGCTGTATAGATAGTTTTGGCAACTAAAATAATTTAGTCGCTGAATGAAAAATGAAAATTTATTTTTTATCTTAGGCGACCAAAAGTTTGGTTGGTAAAAATTCAATTTTAGCGACTAAAAATATTTTGGTCGCTGTATATATAGTTTTGGCAACTAAACTAATTTAGTCGGTGAAAGAAAAATGAAAATTTATTTTTTATCTTTGGCGACCAAAAGTTTGGTCGGTAAAAATTTAATTTCAATGACTAAAAAATATTTTGATCACTGTATAAATAGTTTTGGCAACTAAAATAATTTAGTCGCTGAATGAAAAGTAAAAATTTATTTTTTATCTTTGGCAACCAAAAGTTAGGTCGGCAAAAAATTAATTTCAGCGACTAAAAAATATGTTAGTCGCGGTGTAGATAGTTTTGGCAACTAAACTAATTTAGTCGCTAAATGAAAAATAAAAATTTATTTTTTATCTTTGGCGACCAAAAGTTTTGTTTGCAAAAATTTAATTTCAGCGACTAAAAAATATGTTAGTCGCGGTATAGATAGTTTTGGCAACTAAACTAATTTAGTCGCTGAATGAAAAATGAAAATTTATTTTTTATCTTTTGGCGACCAAAATTTTGGTCGGCAAAAATGTAATTTCAGCGACTAAAAAATATTCTAATCGCTGTATAGATAGTTTTGGTAACTAAAATAATTTAGTCGCTGAAAGAAAAATAAAATTTTACTTTTTATTTTTGGCGACCAAAATTTTGGTCGGCAAAAATTTAATTTCAACGACTAAAAAATATTTTGGTTGCTGTATATATAGTTTTGGCAACTAAACTAATTTAATCGGTGAAATAAAAATAAAAATTTACTTTTTATCTTTGACGACCAAAATTTTGGTCGGCAAAAATTTAATTTCAGCAACTAAAAGATATGCTAGTTGCGATATAAATAGTTTTGGTAACTAAACTAATTTAGTCGCTGAATGAAAAATGAAAATTTATTTTTTATCTTTTGGTGACCAAAATTTTGGTCAGCAAAAATGTAATTTCAGCGACTAAAAAATATTTTAGTCGCTGTATAGATACTTTTGGCAACTAAAATAATTTAGTCGCTGAATAAAAATAAAAATTTACTTTCACTCATCACTCTTTCTGTCTCTTTCTGTCTGTCTATCTCTCTTTCTCTCTGTGTCACTGTCTCTGTCTCTCTTCTCTTTCTCTCTCTCACACTTATCACTCTTCTCTATCTGTCTATCTCTTTCTCTCTGTGTTTCTGTTTTTGTCTCTGTCTCTCTTCTTTTTCTCTCTCTCACTCATCACTCTTCTCTGTCTGTCTGTCTGTCTGTCTCTGTCTTTCTCTCTCTGTGTCTCTCGCGCATCTCTCTATCTCTCTCATCTGTCTATGTCTCTCTGTCTCTTTCGTTCATCTCTCCTCTCTCTCTCTCTTGCACTTGCTCATCTCTCTTCTCTCGCTCTCTCTCATCTCTTTTCTCTCTGTCTCTCTCGCTCATATCTCTTATCTCTATCTCTCTCTTTGTCTCTCTCGTTCATCTCTCTTCTCTCTGTGTCTCTCTCGCTCATTTCTCTTCTCTCTATCTCTCTCTCTGTCTCTCTCGTTCATCTCTTCTCTCTCTTTGTCTCTTTTTCTGTCTCACTCTCTATCTCTCTCTCTTTGTCTCTCTCTCTTTCTCTCTCACTCATCACTCTTCTCTGTCTGTCTGTGTCTCTGTCTCTTTTTCTCTTTGTCTCTCGCTCATCTCTCTTCTTTCTATCTCTCTCATCTTTTTTCTTTCTCTATCTCTCTCACTCATCTCTTGTTTCTCTCTGTCTCTATCTCTTTCTCTCTCTATCTCTTTCTCTATCTGTCTCTCTCTCTTTCTCTCTCTATGTCTTTCTCTCTGTGTGTTTGTCTGTCTCCCCTATTGTGTTCACTTTGCTCACTCTCTCCTTCCCCTCTTCTCTATTTACCCAGCTCTTCACTAGGCAAAAATGCACTTTTAGCGATCACTCTGTCTGTCTCTCACTCATCACTCTGTCTCTATCTCTCTTTCACCACCCACCATTGTTGCCACTCCACCTCTACAACTACCATTATTACCACCATCATTACCACTCCACTACCACTACCACTACTACTACTACTATTACCTCTCATCTACCACCTCCACTCCATCTCCTCTACCACTACCATAACTTCACCACTAATCTCCTTCGCCATTACCACTCCACTATCACCAGTTTCGCCATCACAACTCCACCCCTCTGTCTCTCTCTCTTGCTCATTTATCTTCTCTCTCTCTTTCACTCATCTTTCTTCTCTATCTCTTCTCAAATATTTTTTTTTCAATTATTGTTTTTTTCCAATTATTTTTCTTTCAATTATAATGTGTATGATCCCATCGTCATAAATAATAAAAAAATAAATATAAATATTTTAGGCCTAG